GTTGAAGACAATAGTATTTTGTACATAGAATATTGTCCAAATATAAAATATAAAGTTCGATTTTATAAAATATAAAATATTATATTTAAAATTTAAATATATGCCTAATTATGAAATAAGGTCGCATTTTTTCCTATTTTTATTTATACTTATGTAACGAAATATATTTTGAAGTTGAAGACAATAGTATTTTGTACATCGAATATTGTCCAAATATAAAATATAAAGTTCGATTTTATAAAATATAAAATATTATATTTAAAATTTAAATATATGCCTAATTATGAAATAAGGTTGCATTTTTTTCCTATTTTTATTTATACTTCATGTAACGAAATATATTTTGAAATATATCGTAGATGATGACAAAATACTTATATCAGGAAATATATCATACTTATGTAACAAAATCGTATCGTATATAAGGAAATATATAAGGAAGTTTAAATAACTATATGCCGAGTATATGCATGTCATATATCATATATGTCATATATGTATATTTATATCAATGGCATGTTGTGTAATTGTTCTAGTTAACTAAGGTCTTTTAGTTAAAAGGTGTGAGAAGGCTTGTGGAGTTGCCACGTAGGAAATGGCATGCATGTAATAAACATATGAACTAAAAGTTTATTTACAAAAGTTCTCCTCAAATAATAAGAAGGGGATATAGACTCTAATATACGTCTTAATTCATTTTAATCATAACCTTAATGTAAAAATGAAAACACTAACATAATAACTCTGAAAACCTAATTGATAAAGTAAAATGCCAAAATGGATTAATTAAAACGCTCTAACCGCTAATCACCCTACGCATAGTTCAGTTCGTATCGCTATCTGATTCACATTTATAGCCTTTTTGAACTACGTTAATGATAAATGAAAAAAAATTGTCTAGATGGGACCACCATAGTCTTGAGAAGCTACCGAGATACATGAAGGTTTGCTTTGAAGCTCTAGATACAATCACAATGGAGATTAGCATGAAGATCTGCAAATTACATGGTTGGAATCCAACACTCTCCCTTCAAAAATCGGTATATATAAATCAAAAATATCATGTTCCCTTATATGTATCATATTAGCTAGCTCCTTGACTGAAACCCTACTACCACTACAATGTCTTCGTTTCTCAGTGGGCTAGGTTGTGCAAAGCATACTTGGTAGAAGCAAAATGGTTTAATTCTGGTTACTTACCAAATACTGAGGAGTATATGAAGATTGGGGCTGTGAGTTCAGGTGTTCACTTAGTGATGCTCCATGTTTACTACTTGTTGGGGGAAATCACAGCAGAGAAAGTCAAACTAATAGAGAGCAACCCGAAGATTGTATCCTCTGCAGCTACAATTCTCAGGCTTTGGGATGATCTTGTAAGTGCCAAGGTCAAATTGAACTAATGATACTAATGTCTAGAGAGATATTAAACTTGACATCGAATCTTAAGTGCCAGGTTTTGTGTGTTTTAGCAGGATGTGAACCAAGACGGGTTTGATGGATCATACGTAGACTGCTACCTGAACGAACACAAGGGATCAACCGTTGCTGAAGCAAGAGCACATGTTTTCCAGGAGATATCTAAAGCATGGAAACACTTGAACAAGGAGTGTCTGAATCCAAGACCATTTTCAAGAGCCTTCTCAAAAGCTTGTCTAAACATTGCAAGAACAGTTCCTTTAATGTACAAATACGATGATGAACAACAACTTCGCGGCCTCAACAAATATCTCAAGCATCTAACATAAGAAGTTCCATTTGACGCTCTGTAATAAAGCATTACGTATATAGCAGAATGGAATTTTTGTCGTTCAACAATAAGGAAATGAGATTACAAGAACTTTGATCAGAAAACAATTAACTTAGGCACAAAGGTGTAACGCCCTGAACGTCCACGATCAATGTGCTTCCACGGCCGCTCTCTCGGCCCGTGGGCCCCATCCTGTATGACAGTCGTTTTCCTAAGGTTCGGAAGTCATGTTTATTGATCCTGTAAACACTACATGACATTTCTTCATGTCTAGTGGACCTTCCACTCGCGCTCTCTTGGCCCATAGACCATATCCTGTACGGTTCGTTAATTTTTCAACTGCTCAAAGTTATTTTAATGACTTTGCAATCACCACATGATTTTTTTCGACTTTGACTTCTCTCGCACAATATCGAAAATAATTTCGTGATAGATCCATATTTTCACTATTCCAGCTCAAACATAGATAATTTTACAGTTCTATGTTTCTGAAAAAATAAGCACACTTTGGTGAAATAGTTAGCCAACAGATATCACAATCCTGGATGTTACAAAAGGTTTAACGATTTGCATAATAAAGATTACACGCAGGGATACTTTATAGTGCTGAATTTTTGTGTCAAGTTTAGGTTCCTCGAAGATTTTATGATAATCCTTGTGTTGCTCGGTTTGAAAACAGAGTATATATTGGTAGTGTCATTAAAGCAAATCTAAGCTATGGTGGACTTGTTGGGCTTGAAGGTTTGACGCAAGAAGAGCTTTTTCTTTGGTTACCAGTCAAAGGCATTACAGTGAAGGATCCTTCTTCTGGACTTGTTTGCTATGCTCCTGGTAAGTCGTAGCTTTTGGTTCCTCATAATGTATCCTTTTATGTAATCCCCTTTTACATAGATTTTGGGGAGATCTTATGAAAATTGTATGTTTTCACCTTGCGATTGTAGGATCTATTATGGATAAGATAGAGAAAACGAAGATGGATATTCAAATCCATAAATGAAATGAGCTTCTGGAGGGGTGCGAGATTCAGAACTTAAACCTTTTCTCTTTGAAACTTGAACAAAGATGTTCTAATTTCTCTTCTCTGTGGCTGGGGGCGTTTATGAAAATAGAAAATGTGGGGGAATATTTGTAAAATGTAGAAAGATGAGATAATTTTTTTGGAACTTTGTATAAACCATGAATTCGGCCACTTGTAATTTATTTTCCTTTTTTTTTCTTATTGAGCGAATTGGCTTACTATACATTAAAAATATGTAAATTAGATGGCTAAAAAGTGAAAACTGTTTTTTTGTTCAAAAAGTGAAACTGTTAAAAGGATAATAATACTGATAGTGTGGAACTCAAGATAATGATTACTAGGTGTTCTTCTGCACCATGTGCAGTAAAAAAATTAAAATATTTTTTAACAGATACAAGTTATGTTTAAAACTAAAATTTTATTAATATTATAAATTTTCTTTTTCTTATCAATATTTTAATACAAAATTTTGTTTAATCAAACATAAAAAGTAATATAAAAATATTTTTTGTTTATTTTAAATTATATTTAAGAATATGCATGTATATATTTAAAATTATAATCCTAGATAATTTTTATTTATTTATTTTAATTAAATATATTGAATAAATTTGTAAAAAAATTTATAATTATCAAAAATTAAAATTAGACATTATTTATTAAATTTTTAAATATATAAGAAATTAATAATTTTACGATTAAATTTTAATAATTTTCTAAAAATGTATATATTTTTGAAATTTTTGTAATAAAATTGTATAGTTTTAACATATATAATTAAATGATATTTTCGAAATTTTTAATGTCATATTCGTATATATTTATTTTAATGATGATTTATGAGTTATTACCATATTTTAAAAATATTTCTAAAGATATAAATCGACATTAATTGTAATATATGAGTTGTTACCATATTCTATAAAGTTTTGCAAAAATATATATTAAGATTAAATGCAATTGTCCATGTCATATTTAAACATAGGTCATGTTATCAATTATAGTAGACATGTCACCATTTTTTGTGAAACTGATTCTAGAGATGACATGTGAATTTTGTTTAATCAAACATAAAAATTAATATAAAAATATTTTTGTTTATTTTAAATTATATTTAAGAATATTCATGTATATATTTAAAATTATAATCTTAGATAATGTTTTATCTATTTATTTTAATTAAATATATTGAATAAATTTGTACAAAATTTTATAATTATCAAAAATTAAAATTAGACAATATTTATTAAATTTTTAAATATATAAGAAATTAATAATTTTACGATTAAATTTTAATAATTTTATAAAATGTATAAATTTTTAAATTTTTGTAATAAAATTGTATAGTTTTAAAATATATAATTAAATGATATTTTCGAAATTTTTAATGCCATATTGGTATATATTTATTTTAATGATGATTTATGAGTTATTACCATATTTTAAAAATATTTCCAAAAATATAATATATGAGTTGTTACAATATTCTATAAAGTTTTCCAAAATACATATTAACATTAAATGCAATTGTCCATGTCATATTTAATCATATGTCATGTCATCAATTCTAGTAGACATGTCACTATTTTTTTGTGAAACTGATTCTAGAGAGGACATGTGGCAAAATCACTTCACAAATAATGTATAGGGGATTCTTCCGCCATTATTTTAAAGTTTATCTAGAACATCTCCAAAAGATACTCTAGAAGTTTAAATATAAAGTTTTTGATTCTATAAAAAAGAAATTCTAAATTTGGAAATTTGAAATTTAAAATTTGAAATTTTGAGTAGTGAAATTTCAAATATAGAGTATCACTACTCAAAATTTCAAATTTGAAATTTCATATTTTTATTTGCATTTTGGTACTTACAATTACATATCATATTTATAATTCTTAAATATTTTGTTGTTTATCAATTTAATCTTTAAAAAAATTTATCATATAATATTTCTAAAGTTTTTTAATAAATTTAATTTTTACACATTATTTTTTTCTAAGAAAACATCAAAATAAGATTTCAAATATTTTAAAACCAAAACTAGATAGCATCAGTATTACTAGATTTAATGTAGTATTTTGTTCGTAGTTTTATATTTAATTATATATTTTAGTGTAATATTTTATCAATTAATATTTTTGTAATATTTTTATATATGTAGCAATTATTTTTAAAAAAATTTATGAAATTGAATTAGTTATGGTAAATATAAGGACCACAATATAATAAATAGTTTTGAAATTAAGTTTGAAATTTTATTTTTGGAGTATAACACATTTAAACTTCAAATATAGAGTTTTGCAAACTCTAAAAATAGAGAGTTTTTTTGAAGATGCTTTAAACTGACTTTTTGTTGTCTTTACTCCTATAAACAATGTTCAAGAAATTGTTACACAATAAGCAGACGATGATTCAAAACATAATGCTCAGAACAATTATGTGAGCACATGGATTATTAAGGAGGTGTCTTAGACGATTATAAATTACAAGAACAATATAAATATAAATATATCTAAATTTTTATATTAAATATTTATTCACAAGTGAAAATTAATTATTTTGTTTTCATAAATTTTTATATTATAATACATTAATTATTATAAACTAAGATAAGACTGCGTCTTGTGCAGGATGAATTTATATGAAAATATTTAAGAAATATCGTATGGAAAAATACAATTTATATTCTTGATCAAATTAATATTTTTAGCCTTTAAACCATTTTAAAAACTTTTTTGTAATTACATAATTTGTTGACTTATGAGATGATCTCACTTTTAAAAATATTTTAGGTCAAATAATTATTTATCGCATAAGAACCTAATGTTTAGGCGGAAAAATCTCAAATCTACTATTTGATTACAACAAAACTATATCATCTCAGTTTTATATCAATATTTAGCAATTTAAAAGTTAATTATGGTTATGAGAAGTTTACGTTCACGTGCCAATCCTATCTATCTTCAATATTTTTTTTCTTTTTGATGTCGTTTTTTTTCATTTTGGTTATTTCTCGATATAAATATTGATTTTTTAGTTTATTCTTATTTCGTTGTTTTATTTTAGGCTGAGATTTAGAAAACTTTTAAGATTTAAAATTATTAAAGAGAAACATATTTAGGTTAAGATCTATACCTTGTACAGAAAAAGTATTTTATATTTATTGTATATTTTTCTGCATATTATGAAATAATAAAATAATTATTATATATTAAATAATTAAGAAATCAGTTAATAAATACTATTATGTAATAAATTAGCATGTGCATATAAATCAAACGACCGCTCTTGTTTAAAAATTTTAGAGTAAAGAAATGAAAACAATCAATCTATTTATCATATATGATATATAATAAAATTTAAATGCTATTAACATAGATATAATATACTTTCAATGTGGTAGTTATTACTCATGTTATTTATTGATTATTTGTATATTTGTGTAATAAAAGTTTACACCAACGAATTTATGTGAGACTTTTAACAGTTTAGTAATTTATACTCATTTTGAAAATTTTAAAATACTACATATACAAAAAAAAATAGATTCTGATTATATGATTAATTTAATTGTGTAATTTATTTAATAATAAATAATTAACAAAAATGATAGAAAGCGTACATATTATTAGCAAATCTTTATAATTTAAAATCATTAATTTTCATAAATATCATAATCACATTAGGTAATTTCATAAGTTTTATTTAAGGAAAAATCTATCATAAATTTGAACTTGATAAAGGAATGGTTCATAATGGACATACTATATAATATAACATTCCCTAGAAATTTAATTGTAGGCTAACAAAATTCTCAATTGATTCTCAAGTCGCGTAAGTAAAATTAGCATTTGAATTACGTGATAACTCAGCATTCCACTTTTTTAATTAGTACAAACTACAAGTTATAATTTTTAAATGTTTCTCCTTTAACATAGAAGGGATTTCTGAATAATAAACTATATATGATTTATTATTACAATATTGTAATTGCGAAGATGGTTTAGTAAAGTTTAGCGCCTAAAAGATGTCTAGAATTCTTTTTAGAACACTGTTTAGGATCTTGTATCAAAAAA